CTGGGGCACAAGGGTGCTTCATTGCAGGGGCTGCCTGCTGGTTAGCCCTGCACTGAAGCACCCTCCTGCCCCAGCCAGCCCCTCCACAGCATGGGTTGGAGCAGCCCTAGGCTGGTGGACTGACCCCCTGGATTTCCTCCAAACCAGGGCTGCTCCAACCCAGCTCAACATACTGTGGTCTTAGGCACTTGTATAAATGCGGCACCTGGGAGCAATGAACTCCAGCACAATATGTACTGAAGTGGATTGCTTTGCATTAACTGCATGTGTAGATGCGCCCACTGAGTAAAGCCTCTCACCCCCCCGTCACGCTGCTCCTTGGCTTCTGGCAGGTTTGCCTTGCCTCCAAGGCAGAAATGATAGTGCCACTAATTCCCACCGTGAAAGCTGTGCTCCCTTCATTCCTTCTGCACCATGCAAGGCAGGGACTGCTGAGGCTCCCAATCAGCAGCCACTTATAGAAGAAAGAAATGTCATAGATCCAGTTGCATTAATCACTCTGTGAAATGCAATTCATCACTTAGATTCATAGGAAAGTAGGATTGGAAGGGACCTCCCGAAGTCATCTAGTCCAGCCCCCTCATCATCCCTAAGTAACCCATCCCAGCCAAGCATCAGTCTAACCTGCTCTTAACCATTTCCAGGCATGGAGATTCCAGTTTGTCTAGGTAGCCTGTTCCAGCATTTGTAGTCAGAAAGTTCCTCCTAATCTCCAAACTAAATTGCTCTGTTATATCTTGAGGCCATTGCTCCTAGTCCTTTCCCCTATGACCACAGAGAACAGTCCATCTCCATCCCCTCTATAATTGTCCTTCAGGTCTTTGAAGACTGTTATTCAATCCCCCCTCAGTTTTATCTTCTCCAGACTACTGGTAAATAACCCGAGCTCTTCAGCCTTTCCTCATAAGTCATGCTTCCCAGGCTTCTAATAAGTTGATGCTGCTCTCTGCTGGAGCTTTTCCAGTTTGTCCACATCTTTCTTAAACTGTGCAGCTCAAAACTGGACACTGTACTCCTTGGCCCATTTTGCGGTTATGAATTTCTGGACATTTGCTAAATGTTGCAAAACAGCTCAGCAAAAAATGGTTTAATTTTGTTCAGTCTTTTCAAACTCTAATCTCTGCCTTTTGGCTTTAGTTATTTTACTGCAATCAAGCTGGGTTCAATTTACTTGCTCAATACATCTTATGGGTTTTTTCACCAAAGGAGCCTGAACGATTTGAGCATGTCTCAATTCTAGACCCAGTGGTTCTTCTCTTATAATGCAAGGCTTGCCTAATTGTCCAGTGCTGATATCAAGGTGTTTTATTAAGCATTTTACCATACTCCCAATTTCTCAGGTAAACAGGATTGTCAGTATTAGTTCAGGGACTCTCTAAATTTCTGGAGTGCTTGAACCAAGCAAAATTTGTTCTGCAAAGACTCAAAGGGAGCTGATTTTTACTGAGTCACTCGGCAGCTCTGACTATAAGCTGATGGCATTGCTTGCAGCATGGCTGCTAATGTTTGACAGGAAATGATTCAGATATCAGCAGGGATTGGTAGATGGAAATATTTGATTGTGAACCCACTTTCCTGTATGTTATTTGGTGGGGAGCAGAGGAAGAACAGCTGAGGCCATGCTTCCTGCTTCATTGGGACACCGAATGAGTGTTGTGTGGTGCCCCAAACAGTATTATGGAAGCTGTTTCAAGGAGAACACAAACCACTGAAGTACATTCCCAGACAGGTGTTGGGCACCATGAAGTCTGAAAACTGCATGGTTGTAACATTAGCCCAGGAAAAGGAATGGCTCAGAAGCCAACCGAACCAGCACGAGGATTCAAGAATGTCAAGTATGAGAAAACATTAAGAGAGCTTGCCTTGTTTTCATTGTAAAACGAGACTGGTTGTAATTTTATAATGTGTTTCAAGGCTTTGGCTAACATCATTTGAATATCTGATATGTCTTCTATCAAGCAGATATATTCTGCCCTTTCTGATCAAATAGATTTCTAACTCTTCAGCCTCCCAAGAGCCATGGATCAAGTGTAACAGTGACCAACGTTTACATCATTCAAAACTGTGGAACAAAATGCAATGCTTAGGAAAGTGCCTGTACAGAAGCACTTCATTCAAAGTACAAGGCTCACAGGGAACAGACATGCACCAAAGGCTCTGGAGCAGCAATGCAGGAGTTAGGTCAGCCCTGCACAGGTGGGTGTTCCCCAGCTGACTATTACCTTCCTACATCTGCGCCCATTTTCTCCGGGACATAACAAGCCACTTAGTGCTGGTTCCTGCATATGCTTAGCAACAAATGCTCTGCAGGAAGCTGTGCTATGAAAAATGAGTTCCT